AAATCCTTAATTAAATCCAAAAATTCTAAAATGAAAAGGAAACGTGTTGAAGAAAGAAACTGAATACATAAAGGAAATTATTCTTCAAAGATATGCGCAGTTATTGTTATGTAAATTACCCAATTGTTTGATTTCAACCTTTACTATAATTTCCCATTTTTCCTCATATGATAAGAGTTAATGAGACAGATTAAAGTACAATTAAATTGTATAATCTTTGACCAGTAGTTCACATTATTAGTTGGAATTTGACTGTTCTTGTTCAATTATGTCATTGTGAGCTGTAATTGATTTTGCTTAGCACTCAGAACATGACCTTTATATTCTAAGTTCTTAAATAAAAGGCTTAAAAGTTTAAATAAGGGGCTTATTTAAATCTTTGTCTGATATTGTAGTTAATTTCAGACATAGCGATAATATGCTTCACGTCTGTCGGGGATTTTGGACTATTTAACTTTTACCAGATCAATTAAACCCTGATAGGTACATTATGGAGAGGTTGATAAGTTAGGAGGTGAAGCACGCAGAAACTAGTGAGAGCATTGGTTTGCATATTGAGACAAATCTCTAATTGTTAGACAAGATGCTTAAAAGAGAAGGAAATCGATATAAACGTTCAAATATGACCAACTATCATAAGTGTAAAATATTTAATGCTACTTGATAAATTGCATAGTTTATTTTATTCTCAAACTTATTAACAATTATGTTAATTAATTCATGTTTAGTAATAATGCGTACTACTTAGGGATCTATTTTATTTTTGGGATGGTATTACAAAAGTGGAAATCTCAGGCATAGATAATATCGTCCAATTAAATTCAGTTCGTTCATTTGCTCATAGGTCCTTAATTTTTTTCATTAATGGTCCTTAAAAGACTTAAAAGTACTTTATTTCCGTTTGCAGAAATGTGTATGAACCTTGTAGGTTGTTTGCTGTTAGCTAGCTATTTGCTAGAGTATATTTTTTTACACACACAAAAAAAAAAAAAAAAAAAAAATGTGGCAAGCTAGCTGTCAGGTTTGAAAATTTAACATATTTAAGTTTTATTGCATAATCTGTGATGGAGGGTTAGAGGAAGGCTAATCAGTAATACAATGCAAAACACCATTTAATCATATTAATAATAAAACTGTATTAATGCTATTATGATATCACGTGTATGTTGATAAAAATTTTATTCACCAAAAATTAAAAATTGTTTAGTATGTAATTGATCTGTTGACCACTCCTGGTTTATAAGATCTCTCTCTATGTGTTGCGGAAAAAAAAGTGTTGCAGTTAAAAATGAAACTGCAGCATACTGATTATGACTGTCATGAATACTGTTACTTTATTAATATTTTTTGGGGGCAAGAATTATAAACATTTTTTCATGTATTTTTGATGCATAAGGAGTTGGATTATTTTTTTAGCTTTCAACAGATGCTTTTGCTGTCAAGAGAGCTAAAATTTTTTAATTAAACATGATTTTATGCAATTGATTCTCATCCTACTGAATGTTCTGTTTCAAGATATATTTTTATCTTTTAGATCAGCAGTTCTCAACAACTCTTTGACTAAAATATACCATCTAAACAAAAATTGAAAAACTTTAGTCCACCACTACCTTTTACGATAATTATTTTTCAGTTTCTCAATAGAAATATTAAAACAAATATATTTTGCCATTTGCACAACCTATAGGCTATTTGTATTAAATATGCACATGTAAAAAATATTAGATTAAAAATTGGTTAGCGTTTTAATTATCAAAATTTAAGTTATAGTACTTTAATTCTAAAATTTAGTGAGAAATTTGGACCTATTAAAGAGAGATCAATTTCTTTATTTCTGCTAGTATTTCACTTAGTTTTAACTGTAAATCAGGATCCACTTTTAATTTTGTTTTGTATTTATTTTTCAAATATAACATGAAAGAAAATCCTTGTTCACACAAATAGGTTGTGCAAAAAGGCAATAAAAATTTAATAACTTTATTCAAAATGTCTTTAAATTCATTTTTCTGGTTCAGTCAAAAGTTAACAAGTGTGTTATTTTTGAAATCTTCAATTAGAGTTTGACCACAAAGAAATTTCTATCAATTTATATTTTTTCACGAGATTAGGTGCATTTGAACAAAACAGATTTCTAATCCAATATTCTTTTTTTTAATCCTTGGGAAAATATGTCTTTAAATTATTTATCAATGAAAACCAATGATTTTTAATGTCTGATGCTAAATTTTTTTTATTATTATTATTATTATTATTATTATTATTATTATTTTTTTCAAATTATTTTTGTTTAGAAAACTTTAGTGGTAAAAAGCTTAAATTATTATTATCCATTTCTTTGGTTATTAACTCAAGTTTTTTTTTTATCATTGCATTTATTGTATCTCTAATGATAAACAAATTAACACAATCCTAAATTTAATTCATTTAACTTTCCAAAAATATCAGCGAAATATGCTAAACGTGTCAACCATAATTCACTAGATAAACATTTTTGCAATTCAAATATTGAATCACAAAGCAAAAATTTGAATTTCTGATCAAAGTTCAAAAAGATGATTTAAAACTTTGCCTCTGGATAGCCACCTTACTTTGGAATATAACAAAAGTGTTTCACGTTCACTGCCCATCTCTTGGCATAAAATCGTAAATATCCTTGATTTTAAAACTTGACTTTTAATAAAATTAAAAATTTTCACAGCTTGAGTCAAAACAATTTTCAGGTTTTCAGGGATTGTTTTGGCTAAAAAAGCTTCACAAATGGAGCAGTGAGTAAATTTAGTTTCAGGTACGACTTTCTTTGAGAAATAACACCGTAATGCTGTAGAGACATTAGGTATTTTTTTGGAAGTAGGCAAGATAAAAAATTAGCAACACCTTTGCCGGGAATCAAACCGCGGACCTCTGGAATATGTGTCCAGGGGTACAGACCATCACACCACGAAGGCACGCCAAGAAGGTGGGAGAAATACCTTATATACTCCCCCCTTTTGAAGGGTGACTGGAGTTTTCAGGGGATCCAATCGCCAAATCCTGGGTGTGGAGAACCATCATCCAACACCCTTTTACTTCAGGGGGCACTGTAGAGACATTAGTTTTTTTTTTTTTTTTTTAAGCAAGCAGTATGAAAAATTAGGAACGCCTTCGCCGGGAATCGAACCGCAGACCTCTGGAATATGTGCCCAGTGTGCAGACCACTGCTCTGCGAAGGCACACCAAGAAGGTGGGAGAAATACCAAATAATGTTTTCCTGTTAAAGCTCGAGCTTCATCACTGTATACGGCATTGCATTTACTCCAGGGACAGACATAAAGTTGTAAATATCATTTGCTGTATCATGAAGAGATTCACAAAAGAAATATTCTTTAGCAATTCATTTATCTTCTTCAAAACATATGTAAACTAATGATTGAACAAAACTTTAGTGGTAAAAGTTAGTTTGCTATATCAGTACTTTCATTCAATTGCAATGCAAATACTCACTGTGTTTTTTATTTTTTGAATAAGTGTCTCTTTTATGGAATATGTTGTTTCATAAATTCGTCGATCTACTGCATCATTTGAGAACAGAATATTATTAAGTTTGTTAGCCACTTTTTCTTTGAATAATATTAAAACAATATCTTTAACTGCTGGTAATATAAGGTTTTTTTTCCAATAATATGAGCCTGTCTAGTCTTGGCAATTCTTAGGCTTACTAGTTCACTAGCTTCCTAAACTTTTTCATTTGAAGTAACAAAATCTTTCATTACTTGTTTACTGTTTTTGAACTCCGGTAATTTCCTCTTAAAATATTCTTCAGATTTATCCTTTAAATTTGTATGCCTAAATTCAGACTGTCTTTTAAGAAATGATAGTTTCATACTTTGATTGGGTATAGTTTATCGCAAACACCACATTGAGGTTGAGGGTCCATTTCATCTCCATTCCAAGTAAACCCAAATGATAAATAACTTTCATTATATTTTCTATAAAAAATTTTTCTTTTCTTTTCAATATTCTTAATGCTATTAGATTGTCTTGGATTCATCATCTGTGAATCAACACTTTTCCATGTAGTCAATCCTAACCATTTTTCCATTTTGAAAAATCTAAGTTTGTTTTGTTATTTTTTCATATTTTCTATAAACGATTTTTCTTTTCTTTTCAATATTCTTAATGCTAGTGGATTGTCTTGGATTCATCATCTGTGAATCAACACTCTTCCGTGTAGTCAATCCTAGCCATTTTTCCATTTTGAAAAATTTAAGTTTGTTTTATTATTTTTTCACAAATATTTAAATACATAATATATTACGATTTCTTCAAAACCAAACGACAATATTCCCAAATCACGTAGAAAAATAAGGAATGCAAAGCAATAAGAAGACAAAATACCTGCTGTTAGAGACAGCAAAAAGGACCTAAAAACTATTCTAATTGAAAATAGTGCAATATAAGCCTGGAAATAATGACGACATAAAGTGCAGACATGCTAACAAAACTATCAGCTCTAAAAAAATGAATGAGATACTGTTATCTTTTTATAGGAACTTATTTTTGTTTTCTATTAAATAAAACACCCATTTCTAGAACTCCTTTTAAAAACATTATTCATGATAAATTTTGTTATGTCTCTAGCTAAAAAAATATTAGTGAAAATAAAAATGGATTATGTTGCTAAGTCTATGAATGACTACTGAATGTGAGCAAAGCTCTCGGATTGCTTAAATTGACTAGTATTAGTGAAAAAACTTGAACAGGATGTTGCGGTACTGAATTTTTGCATTTGATAGTTAAAAATACGTTGTTTCTTTGCATACCACCTATTTTTCTTTTACATACCATTGGTTGAGAATTGCTGTTTTAGATTTGAATGTGTATGATATTTTATCGTCATATAGCTCTCTAAAACTGCAAAATAAAAAATAAAAGTAACATTATAATTCTTATATATATATATATATATTTGATATTTTGTCTGTAACTTTTCTTAGCCTGTTTCCAAATTTTTCTCCTTCCAGATACTCTAGTCAAGAAATTAGAAGAATTAGACCGAAATGAATTTGTGTATAAGGGATTAGCTGAACACACCAAACAGATGTTAAGAGCATTTTTTGATTTATGCCAAGTTTATAGAGGTGAGCTGATGTAATACAAATTCACATTAAATTACAGAGGTGAGCTTTTGTAATACAAATTCATATTAAATTACATAGGTGATTATCCACAAAGATGAGTCTAAAAGTGAACCATAATTCTGAAGCCATAAATAAAGAACAGTCTTGGTATTTATCGTACTATATTAGGCAACCTTTCTGTATTATGACTGAAATTATCTTATATGTTTTTAAAGTGAACATTAAACTGATTAAATTTGATATCAAGGTAAAATATATCAAGTTCTGTGAAAGTCATGAAATGTATGTACAGTTTTTACTTCCTTGTATGAAGTAAAAAGGAAGTATTCTAATCGTGAAAAGTTTCAGGCAACATATTTCAACGAAAATATCCATTTTGACCGTTATTGAATGCACTTTAATGATTTTTTTGCATGATATCTGTACGTAAGGACAGAATAAAAGATTCTTTTCCTCCAAAAAAATTGTAAAACTGCTTTAAAGTGAATTCGGAAGAATTTTCGGCGTCTGTGTATGTATGTACGTACTCGCAACGCAAAAACGAGTAGCCTCAGAAGCTTAAAATTTTTAAATGGATGCTATACAGTAGATGTGCACCTCATATTTGATTTCAATATGCCTCACCAAACTTATATATATTATATATATATCCACTATGACCTGGACAGAAATCTCAGTTTTTTGTTTATATTGTAAATGTGCATTTTGCTTTAAAAATGTTTTATGTATTCTATCTCGGTTAAGTTTTAGCCTTAGGAAATCTGTAAGCAATATTTGTAGAATATGAACAATTAAAAGCTGTTTACGGGGGTTAGCCTAATTTTTAATACATGGCAGCGTATTGTTTACATTTGAAACAGCAGAATAGTGGTTTGTTGCAATTAGACAGATAAGCTTACAACAACAAAGATAGCATCCATTTATTATGTGAATTAAATCTGCTATCCTTCTGAAGTTTCGAGGAAAAACTGTTAAGTTTACTTCAAAATTTTTAATATAGATTTTGAGAGTTGTTGAGTATGCCCGGGTGGATAAATGAGAACAAAATCATTTGACAGGAGAAATACTGAATTGTCGTGAAAAAAAACTGTTCCTTTTTGTTTTGTTTGCTTAATTTCTTTTATGCATCATTCTAGATTTATTAAGTTTTGAACTAGAACATGTGGCAATTGATTAGAGAATTTTCAAAGATATAACTTTTGTGCATCTGAGTTATAATTATGAATAAATTATACACGTTAAGTGAACCTAGAGCCAAAATGTTGCTATGGTAAACAAATATAGTGAATTTTAAAGAGTGCATTTATTCTATTGTGGTTTATGCTTTATTGACGAAGTAGATCAATCCAATAAGTTTAAATGAAATGTAAGAAAAAATGCATATAATTTAATATTCTGTACAATGAAGTCATGTGGTGTACACATCATATTTTTTTTTATAACAGGAAAGCTGTTTGGATCTTTTCCATTATCCCCTTCATATCCTATATAGTATCTTTTAGTTTATCTTTGTGGGCTTACTGTATCAAATGTGATGTGAGAGTGAAGTGTCACTACTGACTCGCCGTATCATATTTGATATGCTGAAATGGAAAATTTTTTTGTAAATTTCGATTGTATATAAATTCAGTCATAATGCTGTAAAACCTTATTGAATGTAATGTCTTGAGCTGTGTTGTTATGAATATTATTTGTTATATTTTATTCTACAAATGTAAAACATGCCATGCTTACTATTCATATTCAGGATTTAGAAACATTTCACACAGTTCAAACAGTTTTAAAAATTTTGTATGTAATAGTAGGGTATAATAGGTATGGATATTTATATTCTTGAGTTTTTTATTTCATTATTGTATGGAAATAATTTAAGTATGTAAATAGGATCACTATCACTATTGTTGTGCATTAACTTATTTTGAATTTTTTTATTGTAAGTATTAGGATTTTTCTGTGTATGAGAAGTAACATTTAAATACCATATGCAAGAATAAAAATATTAGGATAAAAAGCAGATATTATAGCAATCACTAGGATAAAAAGCAGATATTATAGCAATTAGTAGCAGACAAGCCTGCCAGATGAGTGGACTATGGCCAAAGCAATATTTATAAATTCTGTATACTGAAAAGCTGAAAATGAAATGAACTGTTAATTTAATGCACTATATACATAATTGCTAGTTATGACCAAAGCAAAATTTATGAGTTCTATGTACACCTCAAAACAAAGTGCATAAAAGCATTTCAGTAAGAATGAAGTCAGTTCATTCTTTCCAAGCAACAACCGATTCATAAGTAATTTTTTTGTTGCCAAACTAGGAAACAAAAAATTTCGACACTTCAGGTTAGTGCATGTGCATTGCGCAAAGAAAAAGGGGGGGCCAGTTCTATATCTCTCGTTCTACTGGGCCGATTGACGAA